GTACTAGTAGTGTCAAACATATTTGTATATGTTATAATAGGCTAGATAGGTGCATGCTCTTAGAGGGTACAACCCTTTAGACAAAACCAACCTGTTTGTTTCATTCTAGACAACATTTCTACTCTGAGATGGTATCACGCGCTAGATTAGGTCCTCCCCGCCCGCCCACGCTTCCGCTCTAGTCCTAGCCCTAGCCGCCCGTTTGTAGCTGCCCGCTCCTAGCCGCCCTTAGCGCCCCTCTGGCTTCGTGCGCCCCTCTGGCCCCGTGTGCCCCTCTGTCCCCATGCGCCCCGTTGGCCTGTTAGCGCCCAGTCGACCCCGTTCGCGCCCCGTCGGCCCCGTCAGGGCCCCGTCGACCCAGTTCGAGCCCCGCTGGCCCATTCGCGCCCCACTAGCCCCGTGCGCCCCGCTCTCCCCGTACGCCCTGCTGGCCCTGTCGTGCCCTACTGGCCCCTTAGCGCCCCGCTGGCCCCGTCGCCCTATTGGCCCCGTCGCGCTCGTCTGGCCCCGTACGCCCTGCTGGCCCCTTCGCGCCCGGCTCGCCCCGTGCGCCCTGCTGGCCCCATCGCACCCTCCTGGCACCTTAGCGCCCTGTCGGCCCCGTGCGCCACACCTGGCCCTGTTCGCCCCGCCAGGCCATTTGCGCCCCGCTGGCCACGCCGCGCTCGTCTGGCCTCGTACGCCCTGCTGGTCCCTCAGCGCCCCGCTAGCCCCGTGCGCCCCGCTGGCCCCATAGTGCCCTGCTGGCCCCTTAGCACCCCGTCGGCCCCATCGCCCGTTAGCGCCCTGTCAGCCCTGTTTGCACCCCGTCAACCCCGTGTACCTCGCCGGCCCCGTCAACGCCTAGCCTGACTGTGCGCCCCATCGGCTCCCAACCAGCCGGCCCCTGCTTAGCTGGCCACCGCCTCGGCTGCCAGCAGCCGAGCCGCAGCGCTGACCCACCAGCCGTGGCTCCCTTCAGCGCCGGCTCCCCTGCCGGCTGTCTCCACCGCACTCCACCGCACTCCACCGCTCTCTACCGCACTCTACCGCACTCCACCGCACTCCACTCCTCTCCACCGCACTCCACCACTCTCCACCACACTCCCCCGCTCTTCATTGCTCAAAACCGCTCCCCATCGCTCTCCACTGTTTCCTTCACCCTTCCTCCTCCCTCTGTCAGCGGCCGTCAGCAGCTGCAGCAGTGGCGATGGCGGAATTACAGCTCCGTTTGGACGTGGAGGGTCGGGCGCTAGACTTCGAGGCGTGGCTCGTCGACCTCCGACGTCATCTTAAAGGTCAGCGCCAGGACGGTAAATCCCTAGCTGTTCATGTCGATGGCCTGCTTCCCTGCCCTTCTGTGCCTACTGCCCTCCCTGATCCTCCCACCACTGCTGAGCATGAGACCATTTCCACAGCTGCGCTTGCTCATGCCATCTGGGACTCGCACGACGCCGTTGCACAACTTGCTATCAGCCACGCACTCCCGTTGTCTGAGCGTCCCTGGCTTTCTTAGATGTTGTCATTGCGCACTATTCTACCCCCGCCATTGCCTCTGCTCGACGCCTCATCCTTCCCATGTTGTTCCCTGATCTTGCGTCCTTTCCCATTGTCGCTGACTTTGCCGCTCACCTCCGCGCGTTTGAGACTAGCTACCGCGCCGCTAGCACTCAGGCACAACTCACAGCCTTTTCACCGTCGTTCTGCGCTACCCTCTATCTTATCGCCACACGCCTTCCTGACTGCCTAGCCACAGCCCGCGACCACTTTCTAGTCAGCACCCGGGTGACCTCACCCTCACCGCCTTTGTCACCACCATGTTTGAGATAGAGACCCGCCAGCGCAATATTGCTCAATCTAGCGGTACTGCTGCGGTGCCTACCTTTCACGACTGTGCTCCCTCCTAGAGCACTTACTCAGACGTCTCTATTGCTGCTGCTGAGACCGCTGCTGCGGCCTCAGAGCAGAAGCGTCCGGGTAACGGTCGCCTCTCCAAGGGGGGGGCGTGATGGGGGGAAGGGGGGGTGGAGGTGGGGAGGGTGGCGGCGGTGAAGGCGGGGACGATCGTTCAGACGAGGGGACTGGGGCTTGTGCCCTGGAGCAGCCGCGGTAGCAGACGGAGCCTCAGCAGCAGCAGCAGCAGCAGCAGCAGACTCAGTAGCCGCACCAGCCGCAGCCGCCGCAACAGTTGTCGCAGCAGCAGCAGTGGCCGTGGGGACCCCCACCGCCGTGGTAGACTAGAGGCGCTAGTGGCAGTGGTCATGGGGGGGGCGTGCGCAGCTCGGTGTCGGGTGGCAGCTCCAGCGCGGTCACCTGCCAGTACCAGCTTCAGACCGGTCCTCGCTGCGGCACTGTTTGCCTCTGGTCTGGCCACACTGCCGACCACTGCTACCGCCGTCTGGACAACCTATTCCACCACCACTTCGGTCCTTCGTTGGACCCTCCGGATGCCCTGGCTTGCCGCCGTGTGCCGGTCTTTGAGCTTGACATGGATCAGATTAGGCATGTCATGTATGCTGATGACTCTAGTCTGATTGGACCCTATTACTCGGTGTTGCCTAGCGTAGGTATGTCCAATGTGTGTAGTCTAGGCTCCCCCGCTGCGTCAGGCGTAGGACCGTCTGCCTTGTTTAGCCTAGGCTCCACACTAGCCCCTCCGCCGGCTGTCACTACCGCTTCGCTCTCCTTCACGCTTGACTCTGGTGCGTCTGCCTGCTTCTTCCGTGACCACACTTTGCTCACGCTGCTTGCCGCCCCTGCTGCTGTCGCGCTTGCAGACCCCTCCTCAGATCGAGTAGTTGCACGTAGCTCCACAACCCTTCCCTCTCCGGCGGTCCCCTTGGTCGAAACTGCGGTGCGCCCTCGGCCGCCGCCATTGCCCACTCAATGCGCGGGGCAGAGTTTGCTCTTATAGCGCCCGATGGAATACAGCGGTCGACAGAAAAAAAAAAAAAACACGAATTCAGGAGAATGGGAGAGGGAGAGCACATGACGCTCTTGTCGCTGCGGTCGCTGACTTCGCCTCTACCCGCCGCCTTGACTACGCCACCGCTCTGGTCTCTGACCCTGCCTGTCCTCCGTCTGTCGGGGGTGCTCCTGCCCTTGGCAATGACGTCCTGGAGGACCGCCAGTTCGAGCTTGCTTTCCTGTCCGAGGCTGCTCCCCATCTCTGTTCCATGCTTCTAGTCCCTGAGGGTGACCCCGACGCTTTCGACATCCCGACCCCTCGCACTTACGCTGAGGCGGTTTCGGGACCCTGGGCCTCTCAGTGGATAGCTTCCATGGAGCAGGAGATGGCATCTTGGAGATCCACCGGCACCTACGTCGACGTAGTTCCCCCACCTGGGGTGAACGTAGTCGATGGCCGCTGGCTCTTCAACGTGAAGTGCCCCCCTGGAGAGCCGCCTGTATTCAAGGCCTGCTACGTGGCTAGAGGTTTCAGTCAGCGTGAGGGGGTGGACTTCTTCCAGACCTTCGCTCCGACCCCGAAGACGACTACTCTTCGGGTGCTACTACACGTAGCAGCGCAGCGTGACTACGAGCTTCACTCCCTCGACTTCTCCACTGCTTTTCTTCAGGGCAGTCTACACGAGCAGGTCTTCCTGCGTCGCCCTCAGAGCTTCACTGGTACCTTCCCTCCTGGGACCCACTGGCTCCTCCGACGCCCCGTCTACGGCCTGCGGCAGGCTCCCCCTGAGTGGCACGACACGCTGCGTTGTACGCTTGCTGACCTGCAGTTCTTTCCATCCTCTGCAGACCCCTCGCTCTTCGTTCGTGCTGGCCAGACTCCGTTCTACATCCTTGTTTACATAGACGACGTGGACTTCGCCACGTAAGACAGGGACGCACTGGCCTCCGTGAAGGCAGAGCTGCTGAAGAGACACACTTGCCCTGACCTTGGAGAACTGCGCCACTACCTTGGCTTGCAGATCTCCAGGGACAGAGCAGCCCGCACCATCACATTGACTCAGTCACACTTGGTGCGCCAGGTCCTTCAGAGGTTCGGCCTTCAGTTCTCCTCCGCACAGCCTACTCCTCTGCCTCTAGACCACAGGCTCTCCGCTCCAGTTCCTGAGGAGTCAGCAGAGCCCAGTGGTCCTTACGCAGAGCTGGTGGGTTGCCTCATTTCCTGATGACTTGTACGCGCCCAGATCTCGCATACCCTCTCAGCATCCTGGCTCGCTTTGTGGCTACAGGCAGACACCGACCTCAGCACTGGTCTGCCGCTAAGAGGGTTTTGCGTTATCTTGCAAGTACATCGGGCATGGGGTTAGTGCTAGGAGGACGTAGGCCAGTGGTCCTTACTGGACACACAGACGCTTCTTGGGCAGACGACGCCGAGACCCTCAAGTCCTCACAGGGCTACTGCTTCAGCCTTGGTTCAGGTGCCGTCTCGTGGAGAGCTACCCGCTCGTCGTCTGTTGCGCAGTCCAGCTGTGAGGCCGAGATCTACGCCGGTGCCATGGCGGCACAGGAGCTGCGCTGGCTGTCCTTCTTGCTCATTGACTTAGGTGAGCGGCCTAGCTCTGCCCCGGTCCTGTACGCTGACAATACGGCCATGATCCTCCTGTGTCAGGAGCCTCGACTCGAGGGCAGAGCGAAGCACATTCAGCTGCGGTACTTCCTCCTGCGTGAGCTGCAGCAGCGTCGCCAGGCGCGCGTAGTACACCTGGCCTCCGGTGCCAACACAGCTAATATCTTTACGAAGGCGCTTGCGCCTAAAGATCATCAGCAGCACTGCGTACAACTGGGTCTCGTTCCTGTAGCCTCTCACTTGCTTGGGCCTTGACTTTGTACTGTCCTTTATATTTTTATTTTACCCAGACTGGCCTTGTGGCCTCTCCCAGTGGCTGGACTAGTAGTGCCGCCCTGGGCTTGCTCTTGCCTTGTGTGTACTCCTTTTGATTGGTCTTTAGACCCTTGTCTCAGAGGCTGGAATAGTAGTGCCGCCCTGAGCTGCTTCTTTCCTTGTTAGGCACTGCCCCTATATAGTCTAGGGGGTGTGTCAAATGTAACTTAGGTCGTTACTGTAGACTATACTGGATTGTGCCTTAGAGGGTACAACACCCTAGTCTATATATCCTTGTACACACACATTCTAGTTCAAATGATTCTCTTTCTGATAGGGCCTGCTATAATTAATCCGCAGCAGCAGGTGCGAGAGCAGCTTGGGGTCAACTGGCTTCTGCAGAATGCCATCAAAGCCATTCGCAAGGCAGCGCCGAGTAATCTCCTCGTCCACATCTGCTGTCAGCGCCACTATGGGCACCCGCGGGACCGCGGAGACTGGAGGGGCAGCGGCACAGATGGCAGCCTCCATGCCTGTTCCTCCAATTTCAATCACTCCTATGGTCGCTTCTGATGCTGATGCTGATGCTGATGCTGATACTGCTGCGGATGTTGATGCGACCTGAAGGGCTGCGGCTTTCTCATGGGTTCGTATGGCCTCAGTTGCCATGAACCTGTGGGTGATAGGGGTGGGAGCAATGGGACAGAGGAGGGAGCAATGAGGTAGTGACAGGTCATGAGGGGAATCGCACGAGGGGCAAACACAACCAAAATTGAAAAAAGAAAAAGAAAAAAAAAACATGTTAATGCAAACCTACTCCTTTCACCAATCAACCACTCACCCATACACCTCCATAACTCATCCATACATGCCCATGCCTCACCCATGCATGCCCTTGACTCACCCATCCATTCCCATCCACTCACCCATCCATGCATGCTCATTACACCCCCCCACTCACCCGTCCATGCCTGGCATCTGCAGGTCCATCAGCACCACATCCAGCGCCTCCCCCGCTCCCCCCATGGCCTCCTTCACGTGCCTCACTGCATCCTCCCCGCTGCCTGCCGTGGCCACAGCGGCGCCGCATCGACTCAGAGTGCGGCGGGCCACCACCAGGTTCACGCTCGTGTCGTCCACCACCAGCACGCCCAGCCCCTGCAGTACTGCATTCGCCCCGGCATTTGCTGCCACCGAACACACAGCAGCTCCTGCCAGCGGTGCTGCTGCCGCCTGTTTGCTGCTCCTGAAACTGCTGCTTCTGGAGCTGCTGCTTCTGCTTATGGAAGTATCATCGGCTGCTGCACTAAGACCATCTACGCCCTTTGCTGCCATCAGCCTTAGACTTCTCCCATTCAAATCACCATTACTGGCATCACCGTGGGCAATGACCCCCTGCCTTGCCTCTCCGTTACTTGTGCTGACCATCCCATCACTTTTTGCGAACCTGGTAGCATGCCGCTCGCTGCTGCTCTGCTGCTCCCCACCCCTGCTCTCCACACTCCAACACGTGGAGGAATGATGCTCTTCCAAACTCCCTTCTCTGCTCCCTTCTCTGCGCTCTTCCTGGTCCAATCGAGCGAGAGGCTCACAGCTGCTGTGTCGCTCACAGGCTCTGCTGCAATGGGACGGGCTGCTCTGCCTCTCACAGCTTCTGCTGGTGTCGAGTCCAAATGCTGCTGCCTGGAACGAGGAGAGAAGGGTGGGGTGGGGAGAAGGGCGTGATGACGGCAGCGCAAGGGAGTGAGGACGGGAGAGGAGGGGCGGGAGGACGAGATAGAACGGCAGGAGGACGGGAGCGAAAGGTTGTGCAGGAAAAGAAGGTTGAGAGTGTTAGTAATTTCTTAATGAGACGCTTCAGACCGACGTTACAGACACGGGAATGAGAGGCTGTGCAGGAAAAGACGGTAGAGAGAATGCAGCAACAATGGAGTGGATGGAGTGTCATATTAAACATGGAAGCAAGTAAAAACAACCAGAGGCACACCTTATGGCAACAGAGGCTCACCTGATGGCAACAGAGGCTCACCTGATGGCAACAGATGCTCACCTGAACGGCGTGGTGCAGATGGTGAGAGAGCAGCAGGCGGCGGCAGATGATCACACGGGGAGAGGAGGCACCACAGGCAGTAGCAGCTGTAAATGGTGAGTCTCCCTCCTCCTCGTCCTCTTCCTCCTCCCCCTCTCCAACCATCTCCTCGCCACTACAGCAGCCCGCAAGAACGACCACCCCGGCCACCTGTCCACCGCATGTCATCCCTTCCACTCGCCTCACGACCTGCACGGCTGCGGCCCATGCTGCTGCCCCTGCCGGCACCAGCGCCACCCCACCCATCCTCATCCCTCCCCCGTGCCCCCTCCACAACCGATTCCCTTCACACTGTTGACCAGTCCCATTACTGTCACACGCACCACTACAAGCAACCTCTCCCCCTTCCTGACTTTGCTGCCTCCATATATCCCCCTCCTCAACCACCACCACCCGTGGTATACTCTCAATCATCCCCTCTCTCATTTTGACTTTCTCCCCCATCCCCCCCTCGCCTTCTCCCTCTCTCCCTCGCTCGCCCTCTCCTCCCTCTCTCCCTCCCTGCGTCTTGCTGCTGAGGATTGGCAGCAGGTGCACTTGTGCTCCGAGACCCGATAACATGCGAGCCGTCAGCTGACAAGGGGAGGGCAGAGGAGTTTGGCGAGTGTGCAGGGTTTAAGACAAAGGCTAGAGGTTTGAACAAAACATTGGGCAGAAAAAAAATGGCGCCCCCAAGAGATTCCAAGAAGGGAGTCGGAGGTTTTTGTTTCGAAACGCATCAGAAGTCCAGGGAAGGGACATCGGAGGGGGTAGACATGATCAAAACGCGATTGCGATTTAAATCGCATCGCATGGAGATGCGATGATAAAAAAAGCGATGCGATTTTAAATCGCATCGCGCAATTTATTTTTCAAAAAAAATAAAATCGCACATCGCATTTTACCCGCGATGTATTAAAAAATCGCATGCGATGTTTAATTAAATCGCGCAATGCGATTTTAAATCGCATCGCGTTTTAAAACAGAATTAAAAAACCCCCCAAAAAAACAGGAAAAAACCATGGCTGCGGGGAAATTGACTCACGGGCAGTCGTACGCTAGAGTGCAAATAACCAGTGTGGTTTCGTAGTGGGTTTCAGAGTGGGTTTCAGTGCAATATCGCGAGCGATTTTTTAAAAATCGCATATCGCACTTAAATCGCGTATTTTAAGCGCGATTAAAATGCGATTTAAATTAAATCGCGCGATATTAATTCATCGCATCGCGCGATGATTTTTTTTAATAAAAAAAAAACATCGCCATCGCAAAAATGCGATTAAATGCGATGCGATGCGGTTTTTTTTGCCCATGTCTAGGAGGGGGGAGAGGGGAACAGAAATTGACCCTTCCGCCCCTCATAACCTCACACGAAACCAACACTTCGATGCTCTCAGCATTCCACATCCCTCACTCTCTCTCTCCCCTCCTTCTCACCTCCATCCTGCATGCATCAGACCCCACCACGCCAACAGCTACTCCCTCCAAGCCAGCAGTGCGAGGGCGAGCAGCAGAAGCGGCAGAAGTGTGAGGGGCGGAGGGGGGCGCAGTGAAGGGGATGGAGAATGCGAAGGTGGAGCCGATGCCCGGATGAGACAAGCAGGCGATACGACCACCCATGAGGGATGCCTGGAGAGGGGGAGGTGCGGGGTGGGGGCGGACAGAGGGAGGAAGGAGGGAATGGACAAGCACGCGAGACAAATGTCTATGGGGGCAGGGCGGAGGTCGAGGGCATGCAGGCAGGTGGAGGTAAAGCAAGGAGATTGTAAGTTAAAATAAATGGATTGGAGGGGCATTGAGTGGGCACGGGGTGCAAATAGACACTCGCGTGCATCGGGGGCTCGGGATGCGAGCGAAGGGCCAACGAGAGGGATGATGGGGTTGGGTGGGGGTGGAAAGAGGGAGAATCCACAACACGACTCGCCTCTACTTTGAGGTGCACTGTGATGTGCAAGAGCCATTAGTAGAAGGATCAACCGACGGCGAAATGAACCGTTACCAGCGATCAATCAACAGTGCAGAAGCCCTCACCAATCAACCAGTGCAGGAGCCTTTACCATGCAGTGGGATGCAAAGAGCCCTTACCATACAGTGTGGTGAAGAGCCCTTATTATGCAGTGGGGTGCAAAGAGCTCTTACCAGCTATGTACTATCCACTTCCATGTGCAGTGGGGTGCAGAGAGCCCTTACCAGATGGTGTGTGAGGACAAGACCCAGCCCCGCTCCTCCACTCTCCGATCGTCCCTGCAGTGCAGCAAACAAACTAAGTCAGGCCCCAACAACACATGACATAAACAAAAACAACACAACACAACACATCACAACACAACACAACACAACACAACACAACACAACACATCACATCACCACACAACACAACACAACACAACACAACACATCACAACACAACACAACACAACACAACACAACACAACACAACACATCACATCACATCACATCACATCACAACGCAACACAACACAACACAACACAACACAACACAACACATCACAACACAACACATCACATCTCATCACAACACAACACAACACAACACAACACATCACATCTCATCACAACACAACACATCACATCTCATCACAACACATCACACACAACACAACACATCTCATCTCCTCTGCCAATCAGCTTTTCTCGGGGCGGCACACACTGGAATGGGCGTGCACACGTGCCACCATCACACAAACTTGCAGACGGCAGGCAAGGCATCTATCTACACGTGTGCACATGCGGGCTTCTGCGCTCACGCTGAGGCTCATTCGGTCTTGCTTCGAATCGTCTTCGCTTCTACGAAATGCACACGTGCCATATAGCAACAACCCGCGGCTTCTCACGTTAAACTCAAAAGCCCTCCGTCCTTCGTCTCATCGATGCCGCACCCCATGTCCTCGCCTCACACGACACCCAAAGGTTCTCACCTTGAACTCAAACAGCTCTCCGTGCTTCGCCTCATCGATGCCGCACCCCGTGTCCTCACATGAAACCACCAGCTGCATCCTCTCCCCACACCCACTCCCCCCACTTCCCCCCTCACAATCACCCTGAGAACCAGCCTGAGAAGAACCACCCTCTCCCTCCTCCTCCCTGCGCCCCCTCACACTCTCAGACTCCCCCAGAACAGCCGCAGCTGCTTCTGCATCCCCCCACGCTGACAGCTCCTCACTCTCAGTGCTCTGATCCGAAAACGGCCCCTCCTGGCAAGGCGTGAAGAGGGCACTCGTGAAGCGCACTAGGTGGGTGGGCAGGCGGGTGATGCAGGAGAGGAGAGAGGGAGGAGGAGGAGGGGGCGCGGGCTGGAGTGGGGCGTCTGCGGCATCTGTAAGAGGGAGGGGGGAGGGAGGAGGGAGAACAGTGGGACGGGGGAGGAGAGGGGAGGAACAGGAAGTGCGGGAGAGATAGAGGGTAAGACAGAATGGCAGGACGAGTTGGTAGGATTGAATCAGAAAAATTACTAGTCCTAGAACAAGCCTCGCCAAGAGCGGCACTTCTGACTGACCCCCACGCAAAGAGATAGATAGAGAGCTCAAAAGATGGCAATTATGTTTGAGAGGCGATTGCCAAGGGAGTACAGACTTAAATGTTGAAGGACGCACTCAAGGGTGGTGTAAGCAGAGCAGAGAAGACTGACAGGCGCACCGGCGCATGCCAAGACTCAGAAGACATGGAACCATGTTTGAGAGGTGATAGCGAAGGAGGAACTGACTTAGGTGCTCGAGGGCGCTCTCAAGGGTGATGGAGGCAGAGCAGACTGACAGGCGCACCAACGCATGCCCGCTTTTCGTGCATTGGATAGCGTTTTCTGCAGCGTTAAGAGATACGCAGGAAGGAATGATATCTCTTAAGGTGAAGACCGGGGAGGGGGGTACGTTAAGACAGTGAGGAACGAAAAGACGGGGTACGGTGGGGTACGGTGGGGTACAGACAGGAGGACGGTGAGAAAAGGCAAAGAACAGGAAAGGCCAAGAAGCTATACACAAATGAAGGGAAGGAGGGGATAAAATTCTCATGAGAAATTAATAAGAATATAAAGAGAGTCCCACCTATGAGCTCTTTGAGCGCCTGTGTGAGTCTCATGGTGTCCATCTCCAACACCACAGGCACGTTCACATCCACCACGCCCACCACTGCCATGGTGGGGGACACAACAAGGAAGGCGGAAGGCGGAAAATGACAGACGGGGCATAAGGACGGAAAGAAGACTGTTGCGACTGCTACAACAAGTTCGCACAACACAATGTGGGTCCTGCCACGATTTGGTGGAAGGCTTAAATAGGCTCTACGAATTACATGGGGGGGCGTAAGTCCACATGCAGCCTTCTGGCGGTCATGGCCAAAAGTCAGACAAGTCGTCGCTGGTAGTGAGAGACCTAGATAGCAGCATCAATAGATGTCTTCAAGCAGTGACCGCCAGGAAGCTGCATGCAGACTCATCCCCTCGCATCTTCATGCACACACCTCAGTGGGCTTACCTATGGCGATCACCTCAACGGGCCTACGACATAGCTGCCATAGCTTCCATCCTAAGTTGGAAAAAAACGCTAGGTGTAGGGTTACGTTGCGTACAGCGTGTATACGCAAGAAAATACGATACGCTGCGTATTGGGTTGGGATTCGCGAAAATACGCACCGGCAGCCTGGCGAAAAAAAAAAAAAAAAAAAAACCGAAAATGTTTTGCAAAATTTTGCGAATTGGTGAGGCTTTACTGTCTCGCAAACATTCGGGCGTGGCGCGTCGAAATTGAGGTTCGAAGTTCGAAATTCAAACTCAAAGCCAACCACTTTTTGCCTATGTTGCCATAAACGCGTTTGTATACGCTAGCGTTTATACGCTAGACGCTGGACTAGCGGAATGTAAACGCTGGATATACGTTGGACCGGGCAGGCAAAAAAAATTGCCCGGCAGGGATAAAAAAATGTGGGAGGGGTGGGGGAGGTAGGAGTTCAAAGTAGGGTTGAGCAAACTACCCGCCCGGGTCGGGTACCCGGTACCCGGACCCGCTTTTAGGGCGGGTCGGGTATCGGAAATCCTGAAAATTACCCGGCGGGTCGGGTCCGGGTTACCCGGGCCGGGTATCAATACCCGCTACCCGAAATGCTACCCGACGTGTCGGGTAACGGGTACCCGACCCGGTCGGGTAAAAAATTACCCGAGGTCGGGTATTCCACCTAGACATGGGCGTAAGTCGCGCTGTGTTTTAGGTTTTGCGGCAAAACGGTTTTGGAGGTGAGGGGGGACGAGTGGAGCATTTGTGAGGAGAAGTTGGAGCTTGTAGATGGGGAGGAGTTAAGTGCGGTGAAAGGGAGGGAGTTGGGTGGGAGTTGGAGAAGAGGTTGGAGTTTGTAGATGGGTAGGAGTTCAGTGCGGTGAAAGGGAGGGAGTTTTGTTGGAAATGTTGGAGTTTGTAGACAGAGAGGAGTTCAGTGCGGTGAAAGGGAGGGAGTTTGGTTGGAAATTGGAGTTTGTAGACGGGGAGGAGTTCAGTGCGGTGAAAGGGAGGGAGTTGCGTGGTCAAAATTCGACCCCCAGAAAACGCGACTCTCATTTGAGAGTCGCGTTTTCAGGAACCCTACCTAGCCTAGCCCAACTTTAGGATGTCTACAAGTAGGTGGCGGGTAGTATAACCCGCTTTTCAGGGTAACCGGGTCGGGTAAACCCGGACCCGCCAGGCGGGTATTGTATTACCCGCCCCCTAAGGTCGGGTCCGGGTAAGGGTCCTGGGCTTATTACCCGACCCGGACCCGACCCAAAATTACCCGACCCGAGGTCGGGTATTGCAAAACCGGGTCGGGTCGGGTAATTACCCGGTTTTGCTCAAGCCTAGTTCAAAGCCACAATTTCACATTTCACATTGATAATAGCCTCACCACCCCCATTGTTCTGAGCAGTCGACATCGTCGGGGGGGGGATAACTTAGATAATAGCGTGACCTACCGGGAGGAGTGGCTAAGCTTGTAGACTAGGCGACGGGGGCGACGGGAACTGTGCGGACTATGTTGACGGGGTTCTAGGTGGAGGGGAGTAGGAGAATATGTGAGAGAGAGCGAGGACTCGGGAGAATATGTGAGAGAGCGAGGAGAAAGGAGAATACGTGAGGTTGAGTTTTCTAGATGTAGGGAAGTTCAATGCGGTGAAGTGGAGGGATTTTGGGGACGGGGTTTCGCGACTTGGCGACTCTGTCGCTGAATTCGCCGCGTCGAAATTCCCCGCAATTTTTTTTTTCCGCAAAATTTTCGGCGGGCTGCCCCAGAAACTTTACCCAAGCGTTTTGCGTATTTGCCTGCGTTTAGCGTTTGCGTATAAACGCTATACGCTCCGCTAGAAAAGCGTTTATGGCAACATAGCTTTTTGCCCGCCAACCGTACCCAACATCACTTCACCTCTTAGACCCATCCCATCCAGTTTGCTTGCACGACCGACTCACCTGCGCCAAAGGTGAGAGGTACATCTTCTCTCACCTCTCTGCTTGAGAATCATTCTCAAGCTTCTATCTAGACTAGAAGCTCCTTCCTCTCTACCTCTGCTAGCTCCCAGCTATGATTTCGTCAGCTTCCCCAGTCAACACTCAGGGTGACGACGGTGTCGTCACTTCGGTGAGGCATCAACCTCGCCTTCTGACATGGAGGACAGCACTCATGCTGTCTTCCAGCACTTCAAGACACCGCGTGTGGCGGACATGAAGGCCAGCACGCGTGAGTGCAAGTACTACAAGTTGAAGTTCAACGGCGGGATGTCCCGCTGCGCTCAGCACCTCAAGTCCTGGCCCGCCATGGCCCGTCGCGGCATCCGCCTCTGCGACAATGTTCCCAAGGTGGCGCGTGACGGCGTCCGCACGATCTACACCGCGAAGATTGCAGCCAACGCTAACAAGCACTCCGCCGAGGCGTCCGCGCTTTGTGCCGTCGCCGGCGTCGGTGACAACGCCAAGTCACGAAGAAGGGGCGCATCACGGACTTCTTCGGCGACGAGGCGGCATGCGCGAAGAACGCTGCCGACGAGCCATCTGCCTCCTTTTCGCGGGACTCCGCCTGCCCGAGCACCACGCGGACCATCCCCTCTTCCGCAACGCAGTGTCTTGCATTGCGAAGGTGGGGCCTTCCTACATCCCTCCGAAACGGCGTTACGTCTGAGGAGCGGGACTGCAGAAGACCCGCCAGCGCGTGGACTCCGCCCTCGCCCCGATTGCGGCGAGCTGGCCCTGTGACAGCGTCACTATCGCGGGGTGGTGGAGAAGGCGGGAGAAATGATCAACTTTGTGCACATCACTTCACGAAGGGCTTCATGCGGAGCCCACGGGTGCAAGGCGAAAAGGGCAAGCAAGTGCTGCGGCCCGTGGGGACGAGGTTCAGGACACAGTTCATTGCTCTGTCCCGCCTCTGCGAGGTGCAGATGACCCTCGTGGAGATGGTTTTGAGCAACAATTGGCGGGAGTGGGCAGTGGGCTCGAGGAGGGCGACGGCGGAGGCTTTCAAGGAGAGTGTGAAGGATCAGGGATGGTTCTTCCCTGACCTGATGGAGCATCCGTTCGTGGCCATGCATGCAACAGACTCGGCGACAAAGGGCATGATGGGTATGACATCATGCTGCAACTCACCGAGGACATCGACAACAAGCTCGAGAGCGCGGAGGGGTTGCTGACGAGGGCGGACAAGGCGGATGTCACGAAGATCGTGAAGACCTGTTGGGACGGGAGTCTCGCCTGCCCCATGCACGTGGTCGGTCGGATCCTAATCCGGCCAACCAACTGGAGGGGATCTTCCGCAACGACCTGGAATGTACCAGGGTCTTCAAGTCCTACCTCGCCACCCACTACGACCACCTCACTATCACTCGGCCGGGCGAGGAGGAGCGCCGTGCCTCCCTAGTCCTGCAAGAGGGGCTGACGGCCTACATTACTCTGCAGGGTAGCTTCGGCCTCCCTGCAGCAATTGCAGATCGGGAGGCCGTGAAAGGAGGGGAAGCTGAGCTTCACGCACTGGTGGACATGGCACGGCACGGATTATCCAGAGCTGGCAACTCTGGCGTGCCGTGTCCTTTCTCAGCCCGTCTCTGCCGCCTCCTGCGAGCGCAATTGGGCCCTGTGGGACTTGGTCCACACGGCAAGGCGCAATTGCCTCGGGTCTGAGAAGTGCCGCGCGTGGCCCACAACTGGGTTGTGGTTTACAACTGGCACAAGAAGCCAGAGGTCCTTGCCAACATCCCCGGGAACATTCCCGAAGGCCCCCACCCCCGAGGGCTACACCATGGAAGAGGAGGACGGAGGGGAGGAGGGGGAGGACGAAGTGTTGGAGGATGAGTACGAGTAGATCTCGGTAAAAAAAGAGTAGTATGTGGAGGTCTGGTGGGACGGATGGAGGGAGTGGTAGGTTGCATTATGGAGGAGTTTGTGAAATCTTAATATTATATTTCCTCGGTGGTTGAAGGCCCCCTCCTCCCCCCTCTGTACCCTTTTTTTGCCCCCTGCCCGAAACTTTTTTCACCCTGCCCGTCCCAACGTATTTCAGAGCAAAACTGGGTAAATACCCGACCGGACCCGGTTTTGCCATACCCGACCTCGGGTCGGGTCCGGGTCGGGTAATACCCCCAGGACTAGGCTTGAGCATTAACCCGACCCGACCCGACCCGACCCGACTTTGCCTAACCCGAGGTCGGGTTCGGGTCGGGTCGGGTCGGGTCAGGTCGGGTCGATCTTAGGATTTTGCCGACCCGACCCGACCATAGCTGGTCGGGTCATCTCCTACCCGCAGTCGGGTCGGGTTGATGCGACCCGACCCGACCCGACTTGACCCGACCTAACTAGAAGCTATTTTTTTCCCAGGGGGGAACAGCTGGATTTCGTAATTTCAAGATCCAGTAGTCCTCCTCGTGTCTCCTAGCCCACCCACCTCATCCCCCCGCAACCTCGACAAGTGGTTTTGGGCGCTGGCGAAGTATTGGTTAGGTTGGAGGATGTTGACGAAAACCAGTGACGGAATGAATGGGTGTTGACGATTTTTTCGTTGGTTTGGGGGCGTGGCGAAAGATTGGTTGGCTTGGGGGTGTTGGCGAGCTTTTGGTTTCGTTGCGGGTGTTGGCGAAAATTCGGGTGGTTTGGGCGTGTTGGCGAAAATTGTTTGGTTTGGGGGTGTTGGCGAAAATTGGTTGGGTTGGGGGTGTTGGCGAAAAGTTGGTTTGGTTGGGCGTTGGGCGAAAATTGGTTGGGTTGGGGGTGTTGGCGAAAATTGGTTGGGTTGGTGGTGGTGTCGACGAGCTTTGTTGGTTGAGTCGATCCAATAGAAATCGATCTGGGTCTGTTTAGACCCTAAGCTATACCAATAAGCATGGTGGGGAGTAGATTAGTGTTAGGAATGAGCTGGATGGAGGGTAAAAATGGGAGGAAGCCTAAGTAGGATCTGGAAAATGGACCATCTGGTCGAAAATTCGACCAAACCGTCAGACTTTCCAGATCTGCGCAACTCAGGTCGCCCAGATTGCGTCGGGTCGAGGCGCGGCCCGACTTCGGGTCGGGTTGGGTCGGGTCAACCCGACGATGTATACCCGAAGTCGGGTCGGGTCAACCCGACATGTCGGGTTCACCCGAACCCGTCCATGTCGGGTTCGGGTTGACCCGACCCGACGGGTAAAAATCAAACCCGACGGGTCGGGTTCTTCCGACGGGAAACCTGACCCGACCCGTCAAAAAGTCGGGTTCGGGTCGGGTTACCCGACCCGACCCGACCCGTTGCTCAAGCCTACCCAGGACCAATCCGGCCCTTAAAGCCCGCAGTCTGGATTGTCCAAAAGTTAAGCAGTTGAACGGGGGGGAAAGTTTTGGTTGGATAGCGAAACCCAAAAAAAGTTCGCCAACTTCCGCGGCCCTAGGAAAAGGTTCGCTACACCGCTTCAACTGTTTAACAAACTCCCCTTCTTGGACAATCCGGACTGCTGGCTTTAATGGCAGGTAATATAATACCCGCCAGGCGGATCTGGGTATACCCGACCCGTTTAAGGCTAAAAGGGGGTATTGCTACCCGCCCATGAAAAAAATGCCTGAACAACCTCTGTTTTACCCTCTGTTGCCATAAGACATGGGCAATGAGCCAAGCCTGGCTCGGCTCGGCTCGTTTGGGGTCGAGCCGAGCCGGCTCGCCGGTCGATGTCGGGTCGGGTTCATGCTCAAGCCTACTTGCACACTCACAACCCCTGCCACCGTCGTACGCATCGCCCCCCGACCAATCACTCACTCTCAATTCTCTTGTGCCGAGCCTTCCAGCAGTCCTCCACAAGAACGCTCTCCAGCCACGCCTGGGGCTCAAAGCGCACGCAGCTGAGGGCCATCTTCCTGGCCTCGAGCTTGGAGAGGTCGAGCACGCGGTTGACGAGGCGCACGGTGTCGTGCGCTGATGCGCGCGCCGCACTCACGACCTCCACCTGGGAGGCGGAGAGCCCCATGTCAGCCAGGGCGTCCAACATGCCCACGATGCCGATCATAGGGGTGCGCAGCTCATGCGACATGGACGCCACAAACGAGCTCTTCGACTGCTCTGCTGCTCTCGCGTTCGCCCGGAGTCTATCAGCCGTGGCAATTCCTTCCTGACTCCGCAGGTAACCCATGCGCTGCTGCCATGCCACGGCTGCTATCAATGCGGTCATCGCAAGAGCCAGTAACAGCCAGAGGAAGGGCACGCCCCAAGAGTTCCATGCACTTGCGGGCTCAGCATAACTGGTAGGGTGGTGGAGCGGGGTTGGAAGCCAGCCAGCCACGGAAATTAAAAAATTTGATCAAAAGCGGCAACACGAGAAATGGTGACGGAGGAAGGAAGGAGTATACCGCTCATAAAATGCATGAAGGCTATGATTCGTGCTTTTGACTTCAAAAGACGAAGAAGACATGGGGAAATTCATTCGAGTCGACTCAAAAGAAGACATGGGGAAATTCTGCTACCCAAAAACATCAACGCGCCTGTCGGCCTGGCCCAATCGGCGCATCAACAAGAAAGTGTGGACGTATCTCTTTAAATTGTCTGCTACGAGTTTTGTTGGAACTTCTCCCACAGCATAATGTAGCTAAGATGCAGAGCGTGCAGGCAGTAGGCAGAGCAAATCGAACCACCACCCTCACAGCACTCACCGGCACCAAACCGCGTATTGCCGCAAGCGACCGCCAAGCAGCTCCATCGGCACAACTGCCCGCTCCTCCCACGGCCGCGTGATGTTCTCAGGCGACATAGCAGTGAAGGGTGTTTGTCGTTCTCTTTATAGTAAATGAGCCTTGGGCCCGGGCCGTAAATCATGGTCAGGGCATTGGGGTCTGTGGTGTCATAGACCTCAAATGCGATGGAGGGGTCTGTGGGGAGGGAGACGGGATGGGGGGGCAAGAGAGTTGGAAAAGGGCAGCAGTGAAGGGCGGAAGGTCCCTCTCCTTATTGCGGATGAGCCTTGGGCCCCGGCTGTAGATCATGGTCAAGGGGTTAGGGTCGGTTAGGCTTGAGCAAAACCGGGTAATTACCCGACCCGACCCGGTTTTGCATTACCCGACCTCGGGTCGGGTATTTTCGGGTTGGGTCCGGGTCGGGTAATATGCCCAGGACCCTTACCCGGACCCGGCCTTAAGGGGACGGGTAATACAATACCCGCCTGGCGGGTCCGGGTATACCCGACCCGGTTACCCTGAAAAGCGGGTAATACTACCCGCCACCTACTAGTGGACATCCTCAGGTTGGGCTATGCTAGGTAGGGTTTCTGAAAAAGCGACTCTCAAATGAGAAACTCGTTCCCCCTCACCTCCAAAACCGTTTTGCCGCAAAACCTAAAACACAGCGCGACTTACGCCCATGTCTAGGTGGAATACCCGAACTCGGGTATTATTTACCCACCCGGGTCGGGTACCCGTTACCCGACACGTCGGGTAGCATTTCGGGTAGCGGGTATTGATACCCGGCCCGGGTAACCCGGACCCGACCCGCCGGGTAATTTTCAGGATTTCCGATACCCGACCCGCCCTAAAAGCGGGTCCGGGTACCGGGTACCCGACCCGGGCGGGTAGTTTGCTCAACCCTAGGGTCGGTGGTGTCATAGACCTCAAATGAGATGGAGGGGTCTGCGGGGAGACGAAGGGAAGATGAGCGAAGGTACAAGAGAAGGAAGGAAAGAAACGGAAATGGAGAGGGAAGGGGCCGCATCACGAGAGGAGCCAGAAAAGAGGAGATGGAAAGGACGGCAACAGACGAGGGTGAGGTGAATTTTGAGTCGATTCAAAAGTCACCTCGTTAGTGGGAAGGGGGCGCGTCACGAGAGGAGCCAGACAAGAGGAGATGGACCCAAAAACACCTCGTCGAGCACGTTTCTGGCGATGGAGGCCAGATCCACCAAATACACTGAATCCACTGAACCTAAATACGCCCCTTTTCCCACCTGGGCTGAACACCTTCTGCAGCACGTTCTTAGCGATGGAGGTCATATCCACAACGGCCCCAGCAGTCCCAATCACGTCGTCCTCCAGCTGCTGCTCCGTTGGGCTCGGCGGCAGTGGATACTGCAGGATGGGGAAGCCCACCGCTGGCGGAGGGAAGGAAAATGACAACGAAGAGAAAGCGACGGAGCAGGGGGAAGGGAACAAGGGGGAAGAGGAGGGGAAGGGGGGGGGGGGGGGGGGGAAGGGGGCGGGTTGGCTAAAACTCTTACGATGAAGAGAGTGAGTGGGCGTTTTGGACGGGAAAAGACTCGATTCTTTCAGAATGAGCTCTACGGCTTACCAACACCAGTGAGGTTGTAGCTGAGATTCCCAATCGGCGTGACGCCGCTATACCCGACCTCCCCTGTCCTTCTCAGAAAGGATGTTAGAGGCGCCTCAGAAAGGATGTATGGGGCGGCTTACCAACACCGGTGAGGTTGTAGCTGAGATTCCCAATCGGAGTGACGCCGCTATACCCGACCTCCCCCGTCCTTCTCAGAAAGGCGAGCTCGCTCGAGATACGTGGCACGAGGTCCACGAGGGGGATGGAGCTCCGGTAGTAGTGGATGTCAATTGTCTTCACGCAGTAGAACGGGTGGTGCTGCTGGGGCATTCCTGCCAAGTCACGGATCGGCCCGCCGTACTGCCGCTCAAAGGCAGGTCTGGGGAAGGGAGAGGATGGCAAAGGAGTTTGGTTTGCCGTCGACTCAAAACCAGGAACGGGCTCGCCTGCCAGGTCACGGATAGGCCCGCCGTACTGGCGCTCAAAGGCCGGCCTGTGGAAGGGAGAGGTGCGTGCGGGTGCACGGGGAGGATAGCACACAGCAAGGTGCGGTGCAAGAGGGCAAACGGACATGGTAAGCGGGGCAGGAGTCTTCCGGACAGATATGAGTGAGTGGCGACTGGAATGATAGCAAGGGGAAGGGGAGAGGCGAAGACCGAGGGGTGCGGTGTTAGTAATGCTAGCGCAAGCTTCACGGATGGGTTTGAAGGACAACCCACCCACCCACTGACAGTTCCTTGTTGGTGACAGAGAGATACAGAAGCGCGACTGTGTTCCCCAGTCGCGAATACCCCGTCCGGTCTATAAGTTGACTCAAAGGGGGACAGCCCACCCAACCACTCACCGTTCCTTGTCGGTGACAAAGAGGCACAGCAGCGCGCCCGTGTTTCCCGGTCTTGAGTACCCCGTCTTGTTGACGTACGCGTCCCAGCGCTGGCTCGTGAAGCACTTGTCCCACGTCCAGTTGCCGCCGCCCATCTTGGGCTTCCCCATCACGGACGCCAGCCCCGCAAAGGTCTGATAGGGATGTGCATGGTTGGTGAGAAGAGGGAGGTTTATTTGGGGAAGCATGGTAACGTGCAGAGATCCGTGCACGTATGCCTTGAACTGACACGTGTGCACGTGTGCGCGTAACCTGAATCGACACCACTGATCTAGTAGTCCATGGGTATTCGAATGCTGAATTAATCTGAGACGGACCACGAATGGTTGCCACATTGAACCGGAAGAGAGCCAGTGACGCAACGGGGAATCCCGAGCTCAGGCAGGGAATAGATCGCATTTCACCGTCGTGTCCTCACCCGGATCTGGCTGACGGTGGCGAGCGTAAGCTAGAACCGAGGACAGCCCCACAGGGAACACTGGAGGTAGACTCACTCGAATCTGGCTGACGGTCGTGAGTGTATGCTGCTCGAACAGCATGGCGCGCTCGTAGCACCACGTGTCGAGGTGCTGACGGCGGTCGGTTTGGTACGAGGAGTGCCGCGAGTAGCACAGCCACGCCGCGATCGACACACCCGAGAGGAGCCATAGGGCGAGCAGCACGCCGAAGATGGGGCCTGGGGGTTGGGGTAAGGTCGTAGTTACGAAAACTAGGCCAAATAGTTGATAAGCAGAGTCGAATTTTCTCGAAACGAGGAGAGAATAGGGCAGCATCGGCGGTATTCAGAACCAATGTAGTAAGAAGGCCTTGCATTGACGTGAACGAATCAGTCGGTCGTCTTAGGACATTTCCCGTTCATATACACTACTAGAACAGTCATATAGCCGTAGAAGATACGCGTTATAGCGCCATGATCAGGCGTGGGTGGAACGAGCACACTTTAAAAGCAGGCCTTGAAAGAACCGCTTACACACGGCGGAGCTGGCGAACTTATGAAACCCTCATTTTCGACCCAGAAGCAAAAACCAAAGCAGTTTCTATTACAGGAGTGGTACGCGCATAGGAGTCGGATCACGCATTCTATATAACTAATATCTCACTAGAACTACGACGAAACCTACAGACAAGGCAAAAAAACCGATACGCTAAGACTGTTACCGTAGCTTACCTCGGAAGACTACATCCCGAATCGTACTCTTGCTGACTCGATCCATGTCATGATAACGCTGTCTACCCTCTCGAAACGCTTAAAACTAGACATCGTAGCCATGATGGACAACTAAAAGCAGAACCCTTTGACGAGGGTGAGCTGCTGGCTAACTGCTCGAGACCCATGTCCACCACCTCACCTCACCTGCAAAGTAAGGGCGTGGTACATACGATCACGCCTTCCCAATAACGGGGCTCGGTCGCGGGGCGGCGGTGAAAATCATGAGGTACCCGGTCGCGTAATTGGACAAGTGTTCGGAAATCATGTCTGGTACCTATGTTCTGGGTGTGCGAACATTCAAGATGCCACGCGAAATTGCGATCAATGCGAGGGCGGCGACAAGCTCTTTCCGAAACAGGTAAAGCCAAACAGCTCCACCTCCAGTGAACCTTGGTTTCACGACTTGGCTCCTTTGGTGAGCTTGCCTGGCCGACACGAGTGACAGACGCAACTGTCGCCACTTTCGCCAGAGCCGGTAGGTGGGTTGTTTGGGTTGTTGGAGGCCTGCCGTTGTAGAACGCTGTTCGAACGGTCCTGGTACCTTTGTAAAAATAAAACACTTTCATTCGCAAACACTTCAGCGAAGCTTTTCGTCAGGCCTCACGAAGTAAGTAACCCTACGGTTCTAGAACAAGGTCCAATAACGTGATCTAAGGTACCACGCCCTGAAGCCTCCAACCCTTTGAAGGAGGCAATGGGATGGGAGTGATGAGGTGAAGGGGACAAGTCAGCCGCTAAGAGGCAACCAAATCCAGCGCCTGAAGCTGAACTGGACGCACAGTAACCAGCAATGATAATGCTTGGCTCACAACCATTCTCCCAGCTCACAACCATTGCAGATATTGTACTGCATCTGATAGCCGCATGCCTGTCTGATGTTGAGGTCGGACGATCTCGTTTCAAACGAGGGTGACACACTTAGGAAAATGCTGCAAATCATGTGTGTACATGATGGCTCTACTTCAGGGGCAAGCTCCGAGGCAGAACTTACGGGCATTGATTATACGGACACGATGAATCAACGCTGGGGCTCGGGCGATCTCCCCCGTATAGCGGATGCCCGGAAGTAACCTCGGGGCTTGCCCCGAGCCCAGAACGCACCCTTATTTGTGTCAATGGTGTCGAACCTAGCCAAGGTTTTCCAGACAAAACATTTGGATTTTCCCCATTTACAAGTTGTGTGTGAGATTTACTGTACAAGTCATATTCGAACATTGCAAACTCCACTAAGCATCGTTTAGCACATTAAGCGAATAATTGGCTCGTGGTTTACCTCGATTCGCGAATACTTGCGCTTATTGTCGTTGCACTTCTCTCATAAAAGGGACAAAAGGGGCCAGGAGTGAGAATTTGCATTCACATTCTAGACTGACTGGAAAATGCGGCGGACGGGCGGGGCATGCTTCGGCGGGCCAGCTCTAGATCTGGTGTAGGCGACTTTCCCGCCTTGGCACGGAAACGAGGGGCTTATGGTGCCAGAGGATGCATGTACACGACAGTTGTTTGGTTTGAAAGAACACCTCGGCCTCGTTCTGTCGGCAATTTTTTATAAGATATCTTATCAAGATACCCCGGCTGTTTCTGGGGTTGCCTAGCTTGCTAAATTGCAGATTTCAGTTGCTAAAGAGCTCAGGGGTGTGATTGTGGGGTTTCGCCTAGGGCATGGTAAACATTTCGACATGTCCAAGCTTGCCATAGGGCACATCTAAAAGAACGTTTTCATTTTCCGCAACCAACCACAATCGTCTGGGTAAAATGTTTTTCGTTTATTGCGTCAACTATGGTATTTTTATCCAAGCAATCTCCTTTCCACGGGGCGTCTATGGTCTGCCCGAAACAAGTTGTTCAAAGCCCGTCCAACCTTTGGAGGTCGGTTGAGGGAAGGGGGGCGTTGAGGGAAGGTTAAATCCTGGCATATCGGGCCGCTGTTTTCTGCCATGATAAGAGGTGTTCGTTGGTAGAATAACACGTGCATCAAGGCCTGGCGGGTCAGCGTAAGCAAAACTCACACGATGGCGAAATAAAACAAGGCTCGACGCCAATGCGTCGTTAGGGTTGCGTAGCAGCTTGATAGAATCCTGAAATGAAAGAGCAATTCTCTCATGCGAATAAATAGGTAAGAGAGTTCGTTTGTAAGGTAAGTTATGTGCAATTGTTTTTCAGATTGGATATGAGCGTGAACGTGATTTGAAGCCATTAGGGGATTTTGATGAGAAATGTATAAACGAGAACAATGCCATGGGTTTTCTACAAATCTCAACATGAAAAAAAAGGTTTGGTTGAAAACAACATCAAATGGTGATTATGGATGCAAGGCGTGTACTTGTCTGTAGCTATTAGAACTTATGCATTTTTGTCGAGACGAGAGGAAAAAGGTATTTACTATTGTGGCTTTTTATTCAAGCTTGACTTTTTAGTTGCAGTGTTTCACGTGGGATGATGGTACATTATGGCACACCGTCAAGACGATTGGTTCGTTTTGACGTTGACAATCAAGTTGCAGTGTGACTCTATCTCTTCTCGAAATTTATTGGAACCGTGAGTTTTTTGTTGCATGAGTACACTATCAGCCGAAGGCGGACTGTAGAGTCGTTTGCTGAATTCCTAAGCAAACTTGGGCAGTTTTTTTTTTTGGGTTGCGTATTAGTTTGTTTAGATCTTGACTGTCGAGTTGCAGTTTGACTGTGCTGTTTGCCGGAACCACTGGCAAAGAACGTTCACTGTAGTCGAAATTTGCTAAACATTGACTGTTTATTTGCATGCTGTCAAGCGAAGGCAAGAACGTTCGTTGTACACTTTTTATTCTATTTGGTCTCACAGTTTTTGCACGCGGCTCAAACCTGTAAGCAGGAAATAGTAAAACACAAGGCTCGACGTGAATCGTCGGATGGCGAATGCCTAAATTTTCCCGTTCACAACTCAAGTTAGTATTTCCCCCCCACCTTTTTCTTTTCATTTGGGTTGTGCATAAAACTTTGTGAGTAAAATACTACGAGATTAATGTAGCATGTAACATTAATAACTACTGCAATAATTTACGGTTTCATATAAAAGAAGTGTTGTATTTCTGAAGTATTCGTTTAGATCGGCGGTTTCGTTTCGGGCGGGAACGATTGATTTATCTGCTTCGTGACTGTAACGCTGTACAGTCTCTCACGTTCAACGGGACTCGCTCTCCGTGCGAGAATACAAACCTGAACCAAACTTGAGGTGAGTGTAACAGAAATCGGACTGTAATACATGCTATTTAAAAGAATACTTGGGTGTAGTAACTTTGCTGAATTGTACTTGGTTTAGCTTTCTGGGGCAAAGCGAATACGCCCCTGGTAGGGCTTGTTGGAGCTTCTTGTTTCTGCTCGTCCTTCCCACTTACTGTACTGTACCTAGTTCTTGCTCTTTCGTTCGTGCCTAGTTCTTGCTCGTGTAGGTCAGTCCTCACCTAGTTGCTTACATCTAGTTCTTGCTTACTCCTTGTACTTGCTCACGCCTAGTACTTGCTCAGGACTAGTACTTGCTCACGCCTAGTCCTTGCTCACACTGACTTCCTTGCTCACACCTAGTCCTAACTCAAAACTAACTCTTTTTCCTTATCATGCCTAACTGCCACCTGGCGCGGAGCCCGTAACCCGTTTCGCGCTTGCCCGTTTTGCGCAGGCGACTTGCGCGCTGGCGCGTTTCTCACTGTCGCCTTGCACGCTGGCACCTTCCACGCTGGCGCGTCTCGCGCTGGCGCCTTGCGCGCTGGCGCCTTGCGCGCTGGCGCGTTTCGCGCTGGCGCGTTTCGCGCTGGCGCGTTTCGCGCTGGCGCGTTTTGCGCTGGCGCCTTGCGCGCTGGCGCGTTTCGCGCTTGCGCCTTGCGCGCTGGCGCCGTGCGTGCTGCCACCGTGCGCGCAGGGGCTGCCGCCGTGCTCGCCGGCGCCGTGCGCGCTAGTGCCGTGCGCTCTCTCCTCTCTCCTCTCTCCTCTCTCCTATCTCCTCTCTCCTATCTCCTCTCTCCTCTCTCCTCTCTCCTCTCTCCTCTCTCCAATCTCCTCTCTCCTCTCTCCTATCTCCTCTCTCCTCTCTCCAATCTCCTCTCTCCTATCTCCTATCTTCTCTCTCCTATCTCCTCTCTCCTCTCACCTCTCTCCTCTCTCCTATCTCCTCTCTCCGCCCCACACCTCCCTCCTTCCCCGATTCTGCCCCTACTGTGTCTCACCTCACCCTCTCAGGTCAATGCTTTCAACCTCGCAGCAGCCAGCAGTGTGACTCGGTGCGACACTCTGTGCCTCGCCTTTTCTCCGCCCCACACCCTCCTCCTTTCCTTACCCTGCCTGTCCCTACCGTGTCTCTCCTCACCCCCTCAGGTGAATGCGTTCAACCCAGCAGTAGTGGGCAACGTGATGTGCCGCAACCTTATCAACATTGACTGGTGCGTGTGTATGGGCATGGCATGCCTGGCTGTATGTGTGTATGGGGATGGCATGCCTAGCTGTATGTGTGTATGGGCATAGCATGCCTGGCTGTATGTGTGTATGGGCATGGCATACCTAGTTGTATGCATGTATGGGCATAGCATGCATGGCTGTATGCATGTATGGGCATAGCATGCATGGCTGTATGCATGTATGGGCATAGCATGCATGCCTGTATGCATGTACGGGCATAGCATACCTGGATGTATGTGTGTATGGGCATAGCATGCCTAGTTGTATGCGTGTATGTGAATAACGTGCCTGGCTGTACGCATGTAGGGGCATAGCATGCCAGGCTGTTTTGTGTGTATGGGCATACCATGCCGGGCTGTATGTGTGTATGGGCATAGCATACCTAGTTGTATTGTATGCATGTATGGGCGTAGCATGCATGGCTGTATGCATGTATGGGCATAGCATGCTTGGCTGTATGTGTGTATGGGCATGGCATGCTTGACTGTATGTGTGTATGGGCATAGCATGCCTGGGTGTGTGTGTGTATGGGCATGGTAGGCCTGGCTGTATGTGTGTATTTGGATGGGATGCCTAGCTGTATGTGTGTATGGGCAGAGCATGCATGGCTGTATGCATGTATGGGCATAGCATGCATGGCTGTATGCATGTATGGGCATAGAATGCCTGGCTTTATGTGTGCATGGGCATAGCATGCCTAGCTGTATGCGTGTATGTGCATAACGTGCCTGGCTGTATGCATGTATGGTCATAGCATGCCAGGCTGTACGGGTGTATGGGCATGACATGCCAGGCTGTGTGTGTGTACGGGCATGGCATGCCTGACTGTATGTGTATATGGGCATAGCATGCCTGGCTGTGTGTGTGTATGGGCATG